CTCCTCTTCTCCCTTGGGGTGTAGAGGTTTACCAGAGAGATCGCCATCAGCAGTTTCCTTTTTTTCCCCTTTGTCAGTTAGGGACTATCAGATGTTGTCTTCCCAGCGGACCCTGGGTCACCCTGGAGGTCTGATTCCCTCCTAGTTCTTAGCTTCCCATGCCTGCCATGTTGGCCGATTTTCTTCCAATATGCAAACATGTTCAAACCATCGTAACTGTGACTGATCCACTCGAGTTTGTCAGGCCTGAGTTTCTAGATCAGGACATATTGTCTGGTTGCCAACTTTGTCCCTTCTTGTCATTTGGACCAGATTATTCCGAGATTTCATTTCTGAGGCCTGAAGCTGGCTTCTGTGAGTTGTTGTCATTCCCCATTTGCTAAATATACACAGTAAAACATGTATTATATTGAGCTTACTAAAGAACCGACATCACAGCATCCGCGGCATTCCGATAATCGCTCTGTCCCTGTCTTCAGCAGCAATTGTAGAGTTCCAAATTCGATATAACCAGTAGCACTCTGACTGTATATCTGTCTTGCCCTTCCTCTGAGTGTTGAGCATCGATCAGATCCCGTGGTCACCCTCCACTGCACCATTACATTCTCTTCAGACCGTGACGGTCTGATTTTGCTTGAACTAATGACTCGCTCCGATAGAGACTTGGCCATATCTAACTATATATATTCTAAAAAAGCGAAAAGCTAAAGATACGAATCGAACATATACTCTATAAAAAAACCTTAAAACTTTAACGAAAGAAATATTTTATTTTATGTTACATTAATTTAGAGTTTCGGTGTATTGCTTGATACGAGAACACTTTTAAATTTGTAAGTTCAATAATGATCTTTGATATGTAGTGAAGATCAATTTATGCCTGCGTTGTGCAGGACACCATTTTTGTCTTCTCACACTTTGTAAACCATACTTTGGTATTTTTGTGATTTCTAGCAAAGATGGTCTTTAAGTGTTGCCATAAACAAGTGTTAATAAAGTTATGAGTTTATTTCGGAAATGTAGTCTGTTTTTTCCCCCCCCTAAAATATGTGTTTGGGATGTCCGTGTACTGAATGTTGCCGCTGATGGTGCAGTTGTTGGTTTCTTTTCTTCGCAAAAAGAACTTTAATTGCTATCTTGGGTTTAGAGAAACTTGCATCGCAGAAGAACTTAGAAGACAAACATATAGTGGATTTTTGTTTGCTCAGACGATTTGGGTGTGCGCGGTAATAAGCAGGCTGACAGATTGGCTGCTGCCGTTCCTTCCTGTGGGTCGTGAAATACTTGAGGATAAAGCGGACGTGGTGGGGGATCTCCGGGACCAAATAAACAGTGCAGCAGAACAGACTGCGCATCCTTGTCTGGAAAAAGTGATTCAGCAGAGGGATCTGGATGATTTTCTGCCTTCAGGGGGACAAGCAGGGATCTCTTAATCATGTTGCAGCAAGCACCATCAGTATAGGAACTCTTAAATGGCTACTGAGGAAGGCGAGAAGTACACCTGGGCGTGTACTGAATGCAGCAATGTTAGTTCATTCATTCACTTGCTCATTATTTCATTGATTCCCTATTTTATTCGTTCATTCATTCATATTGCCTTTCTCTGCTTAATACTATTAGACATCGCAGGCACGGCTAGTTATCTGTTTCTGGGATAGTGCTCGTTTGTTAGCTTGCTGCTGTTGATATTGTTGAGTTTCAGCAAGTTGTTTACTTCACCAATCCATCTTTGTAGTAGGATGACCGAGAAAGGCTGCGAACAAAACCGGAAGCGATCGTGTGAGAAATGAAGAGATTAGAACTAGGTGAACAACAACCAGCCCTAAATTCATTGAGACACAAAGGCAGAAATGGTTCGTCCACCTAGGAAGAATTAATCCAACGATGTCGGTAGTAAGAGCGTTCAACATTACAATGATAAGCATGAGAGGCGGGTCGGGGAGCTCGGTAACAGATAATCTGTTAAACTGAGACGGCTAGCGTCACGCGGCAGATAATGACACTAGAAAGACGAAAAAGACACAGGCTATGGTGCAAGTTGTTGTAGTAATAGCGATATTGTCAGTATCACCACAACCACTACCACTAGCATCACCACCATCATCATCATCATCACCAGCACCACCACCATCGCCATCACTATTACAGCCATCATCATTATAACCATCATCATCATCACCAGCACCACCACCATCGACACCTTTATTACAGCCATCATCATCTCATCACCACCATCATCACCGCCGTCATTATTATCATCACCACCAGCAGCACCATCATTACCACCACCACCATCATCGTTACCAGCATCATCATTACCAGCACCAGCACTATTATCATCATCACCACCGCCACTATCATCGTTGCCATCATTATCATCATCACCACCGCCACTATCATCGTTGCCATCATCCTCATCATCATCACCGCCGTCATCATCATTATCACAACCACTAGCACCATCATCATCATCACCACCATCATCAATATCATCACCATCACTAGCACCACCCTCGTTATCAACAGCATTACCTACCTAATCACCACCATAATCACCATTACCACCACAACCTCTATCACCAACATCATCATCAGTACAATGTCAGCGAGATACGGGCGTCGTAAATATCTACTAGCCATCTTGTACCTTGCGAAGTCAAGCGGATGTGCAAACGGCGAGAGAAGAGATGTTTGTGGGCGTCGTTTTGGGAGTGACGCTAAGAACTGATGTTATTAGCACTCGGGACATTCCCTTAAGCAGCCTATCCCCATCTTCAGCAGCCTATCCCCATCTTCAGCAGCCAGCGAAGATTTACAATTCCGGTTGCTCCAGTGACAGTTTCGTAGGTAGCTTCACAGAGTCATTGTTATTCGGGGACATTGGAAACTTCTCCCTGTCTCTCTGTCTCTCTATCGTTCTCTATCTCTGTCTCTCTCTATCTCTCTATATATATCTATCTCTCTATATATATCTATCTCTATCCCTCACTTTCTCTCTCTGTCTCTCTCTATCTCTCTTTATCTCTGTATCTTTCTATCTCTCTGTATCTTTCTGTCTACCTATCTCTATCTTTCTCTCTATCTCTCCCTGTCTCTCTGTCTCTATCCCTCTCTCTATCTATCTCTTTCTCTGTCTATCTTTATATGTATATATCTTTCATACTTTATCTCTCTCTATCTCTCTCAATTTCCATCTATCTGTATCTTTCTCTATTTCTCTCTCTCTCTCTCTCTCTCTCTCAAATATATATGTATATATGTGTACTTGGCCAGAGTGGAATTATTTCAGGTCATTCATTCATTCACTCATGACTAATACACACACACACACACACACACAAAGACACACAACAAGATAAAATATAAACATAGAAAGCAACATAAAAGCTTTCTAGTTTCTAAAATATATTTATGAACAATTTGCGCAAGAATATACTCTTAGGACTATGCCATAGTTAAGGGAAATAAGATTCACCATCATCATCATCACCATCATCATCGAGCGCTTCACCAACTGACGTGGCCAATCGTCTTTCTACACATTATAAACAATGAATTTCTGCGCATAGCTTGTCTACTGATTATCTTGATTGATACAGAATAACGTATAATGTTAAAAAAAAAAAAACATCCTTTGTTACTAAAAGATCAATTTAAAGTAATAAACCGTTTTAACATGAATAAATAAATGCGAAAGAACATATGTACGTAAGTTGAAAAAAGTTTTTCTGCTAAAGTTAACAGTGGTTTTGAATTATGATTTTCGACAGTTGTGGAATGCATCTGCAGTTATCTCTCTTTATACATGCGACCGTTCTCCTTTCTCCTTTCTCTTATCGATCTTAACTCCGAAAAACATGTTATAAGTAATACACAATCGATGTAATGTTAAATCATCATCATCATCAATTTCAACTTCTGCTGTTAAGCGTTGTGGTGAGGAAAAGTTTGCAATCCGTTGCTTAATGGGCAGCAATGGCGACTTTCATTCCGTGTCGATGTAAAGGTCTTTAACGTCATCAATCCATGACCTCACAGGGCGGCCTCTTGCTTTCACTTCAAATCTTTTCATGTGTAATGTCCGCGCAGGTAGTTGTTCTGGCTGCATTCTTAGTCAGTGACCAAACCATTTGTTCTTCTGTTTCTCAATGAATTTGCTGCATGGTGTTATGTAATTTTAAATAATGAAACGTTATTGACAATTCTAAATATCAAATATTGAAATCGGGGGGAGTGGGAGAAGGAAAAGGGGGGGGGGGGGGGTTGGTGAGGGGGCAGTGAGGTAACCACTTTATGTCCCAATTATAACCCAAGCGGGTTGAACCAGATATCCTTGTTTCAATAACTACTGACTTTCCCGTAACCCTTGACCTTGCAAATAAACTACCAGAAGGTCATGACTAATTGAAGTCAAGCGTTTTGGGCGGGATCTCTGTTTCTTAATGTTCTATTTATGTACATTGCTCGATTATTTTTGCCTGTCTCGCCCATTCTGGAAATGTATTATTAATACTAGTTTGTTTAGATTCACTTATTTATAAATAACAGCCGCATATCATGGCTGACAATTTCACCTTCCATAAGTCTTAGCCTCTCCGGTTTGCTGCGACGTGGTTGATCTTTTGGTTTTAAAAACAAATACGTTACTCTGGCTTATTAAAATTAAATGCTATTTTTGTCTCATACAATAATATCACGATCGTCAGTTGCCTTGTCGGCTGGCGTGGGCGATCATACCGTTCCACAGCTTGCTGTCTTAAAATTCATATGTACATCTGAAAACATTTATCGGTAGTGAATAATTTTTCTCATATAAAGCAAAGCGCAAAATATACTGCATACAAACGTTAATAAAAAGCCACTATTCTCAAAGATAAATGTCTGTAGATATGTTCTTTGTTGTGTGTTAATTTCCGGTGTTCTTTTATTCAAGCAACTGTGTAATTTTTGACGAAATATGCAGAAGTATCCTACTCATAAAAAGTTGACCTAACACCGTCTTAACCGTACCGGAAGACGGAACTACTGGCCTGATTTTCACTTGCAGAACTTCCTGTCGGGCTATTGTGGGCACGAACTGAAGCGGGCAAGTAGCCCAACGGTTGCCAGAACATCTTCCTCTTCATTCCTCGTAGGTCTGCATCCTCGTCCATCTTAGGCAAGATTGAACCTATTCCCTCTGACCCTGAAGCGGCCCTTTTGTCTAGAAGAGGGCTTGACTGGTGGAGTGATTGCGTATGTGCGCGGAGAGAGCTAAAAATGGCATCCAGTGGCACCTCGACGGGGACGTAAAATCGCCTGGGAGATTCTTGGTCTTGGATGTAGCCGGGGTCGTCTTCACCGTCTAGGAGAGATGGTCTGGAGTAGCAGAGAGGGATGAGAGCCAGCAGGACTAGCTTGACCAGTGTGTTGATTGTCCATGCCATGTTTCAAATGTGGTCGAAGCTGGTATTTTCTTAGATCTGGAAATATATGTAATTTCATATTATCCAGACTATCTCTGAAGAACACCAAGTCATACGAATTGATGCGATAAAACATGGTCTGTCTGTCTGTCTGTCTGTCTGTCTGTCTGTCTGTCTGTCTGTCTGTCTGTCTGTCTGTCTGTCTGTCTGTCTGTCTGTCTGTCTGTCTGTCTGTCTGTCTGTCTGTCTGTCTGTCTGTCTGTCTGTCTGTCTGTCTGTCTGTCTGTCTGTCTGTCTGTCTGTCTGTCTGTCTGTCTGTCTGTCTGTCTGTCTGTCTGTCTGTCTGTCTGTCTGTCTGTCTGTCTGTCTGTCTGTCTGTCTGTCTGTCTGTCTGTATTTTAGGTAGTTAGGTCGTGTTTTGACACCCCCCTCCATGCCATGGCTGTCAAGAATCTTTTCGCATTGTCTTCCTCTGTCTTGTTTTCCACACAGATCTTTCAATAGATCACATCATGTCTTTCAATAGATCACATCATGTCTTTCAATAGATCACATCATGTCTTTCAATAGATCACATCATGTCTTTCAATAGATCACATCATGTCTTTCAATAGATCACATCATGTCTTTCAATAGATCACATCATGTCTTTCAATAGATCACATCATGTCTTTCAATAGATCACATCATGTCTTTCAATAGATCACATCATGTCTTTCAATAGATCACATCATGTCTTTCAATAGATCACATCATGTCTTTCAATAGATCACATCATGTCTTTCAATAGATCACATCATGTCTTTCAATAGATCACATCATGTCTTTCAATAGATCACATCATGTCTTTCAATAGATCACATCATGTTCTAGCTTCTTTCTTCTCATGATATGGCATAGAATAGGATGACTGTCTCTTTCTGAAGTTTGCGACAAGTTGTCTTCGAGCCCTGTCCTCTTTCAAAACGTCTGGGCTGCTCTGTTTGACTGTCTAAGCCAGAGGTTCTCAACCTTCCTAATGCGGCGACCCTTTAATACAATTCCTCATGTTGTGGCAACCCAAAACTATACACTTGCTTATCCTTGTTACTTCATAACTTCAGTGAATATTTGTTTTCCAATTGTTTTTTGGCGACCCCTGTGAAAAGAATCGTTCGACCAAGAATGGGTCGCAACGCACAGGTTGAGAACCGTTGGTCTAAGGAATTCTAAGGATTCTTCTGAAAAGCCACTTTTCCGAGGCTTCTGGTAACTGTTTGGCCATACATCAGAGTTATGTATGTCTTTCGCTCTGAGTCTGACCCAGCCTTGAGTTGGTATCAGGTAACGTCCTGGGAAGTAAAGGCGACCGGCATCATCCATAAGTGCCGATTAGCCTATAAAATTCGAGAAAGCTATATAAACCCTATCTTCATATACGGAAGTGAATCATGGACAATTGGTAGATTAGTGAACAAATATTTGGAATCTGTGTAGATGTGGTTTTATAGACGAATGATGAGAATGCACTAGTTAGATAAAAAGGGCAATGAAGATGTCTTGAAAGTAACTGACACATCAGAAAGAGACAATCTGTATTCTTTGGCCACGTGATGAGAAGAAAGAAACAGGAAAACATCGTGACAGTAGGAAAGTTGGAGGGGAGAAGAAGCAAAGGAAGACGAGAGAACAGATGCTGGACAGTTTGACATCCTGGCATGGAAGATCATCTGTAACAGAGTTGATTAAAAGTACACGAGACAGAAGGTTGTGGATAGACATGACTGCCAACGATACACGGCATGAACTTTAAGAGTATTCAATGTTGAATTAAGAATCGACATCATATCACCCAGGACACTCCCGTAAGCGCTTAGTCCCCATCTTGGGCAGCAAGCCAAGATTTCTAATTTTTATGGCACCAGTAACTGTCTGATTGTATATCCGTCTCGCCTTTCCATGAGTGTTGAGCGTCAGCCAGATTTCCTAGAAACTCCTCGCAGCGCCATTCCCTTTAGACCTTGATGATCTATCTGTGCCTCCGCACTGTTCACTTTCTCCCTAAGAACCCTCACAAATCCAGCTTGTCATACATCAATTCACCACCAAGTGGTCCCGAACCAGCCAATCTTTCTTCCTGCTCGTTTCCCAACACACCGGCATCATCTGGAAAAAGTATCCAAAGGACGCTGACTACCCGAGACCTCTGATGCAACTTTAAGAAGAATTCTACAATCTGTTGTTCTAGGGCTACATGCCCAATACACATACAGATTTGAAAACGGATGCTTTACTTTAAAATAGCACAGTTATATTTGGGCACCACAAAACAGTTACCAAGTCACGTGTAGTCCAGTGTGACTAGACAAAGCAAAAAGGTCTACTGTGTTCGTAAATTATTGCTGTGATTGTTATTCGACATTTGCTTCGTTAATATAAATTTCTGTAACCTATGGTGACATTTCAATGGGTTGAAATGAAATCTGTCCGTATTCCATAGTTGTGGATTTCAAGCTGTACGATAGACATGGCCAATAAGACACCTTTGGGGGGGGGGGGGTGCCTGGTTGACCATGTATCTTAGTGCACTTGTATTCATGGCGAGGCGCAGACGCCGTCTGGAGGTGACAGGTTCAATTCCCGGCACGGTAACTATAGCTTTCGATTTTTATGTTGTCTAGTGTGTTCTTCTATCTTTCTACTTCTTTATATGAGTGCCGTTCACAATACTTTCTGTTACTTAATTAACTCAACACAATGTGGTGTACCAGGCCATGCGCTCATAACTCTTCGTTGTCATCCTAGAAATATGATCACCATGTGGAGGGGGTGGAGAAGGAGGGGGTGTAGGGTGGGGTTGGAGGTGAGAGGCTGACCAACGTAGAGATGTTCGATGTGTCCTTCGAAGTCAGGGTTTAGCTGCCGGAGAGGCAAGGAGCCAACAGTCTGCACACAAATATGCCAGATCTTTAACAAAACAGGCATGTGCACTCAACACTCAGTACTCAGTACTCAAGCAAGACCAAAGTCTACAAGTGGACAAACACACTGTTTAATAAATGCATTACTCAAATACATGTCTTCTTTCAAATGTGCTTTTCTGCGTCCCATGGGGAGGAGAAAAAGGGGGGGGGGGGTGCCTTTGTGCCTCCTTACAAACAAGTCTTATTAAGAGTGTTTTATTCGAAGTAAGACTGCATCTGCATGAGAGAAAAGGACCCAACAGTCTACTTATAAATAAGTGAGACCTGTAAAATGGATGTGGACTCAAAACTCACGTTCTGGAACAAGACCAAAGTCCAGAAGTGGTCGAACAACCAGAACCTTCGGCAGGCTGTAAAGGTGAAGAAATATAGAGTGAGACATATCTAGTGACTAACTGAGGAACACTGTTAAAAGACACGGCTTTACAGACATTTCATGGCAATAGAGCTTGTAATTATATGCAGACAAACGTATAATTGTCCTCTTTGCCCTGAGATCATCTACCTCTAGACGCGTATAAAGGTCCACCCGTTTATCTCACACGGACACCTCATGTCATTAAACACGACAGGTTTTCCATCTGTCATGTGTTTTCTGGTGCCAGCGGTGTCTGATTACCACGCTCTGAACTTATTACACTCAAATGAATCAGCACACAATAGACTCTAAAGGAGAAACACAAACCCAGAATGCATGCTAGAGATGGTTTTGATGTCGGGAAGGGAAATGAAGAGCAATCTTGTTGTGAGGATTGTATTTGAAACTGTCATAGAAGCTGCTGCATAAGCTGGTGTTCTGACAGCTCCATGCGGGAGCAGAAGGCAGAAAAAGAAAGGAAAATTAACACATAAATGAATCATTCTCGCTTTTATTTCTTATGGAAACTTCGTTTGTATAGTCTAAGTATCAAAAACGTTTCAGTTATGTATACCAAGATACTACTGTATATTATTTTATTTATTTAGCATTCAGCACTAAATAATAATAATAATAATAAATATTATTATTATTGGGCAATTAAACAAGACAACCACACTTCTAGAAAATTATAAATACCGTGAGGCCCCCCCCCCCTCCCCCACCCCCTGCGCCAACCTCAAGTTGTTTTCATTCTTTCATCGCGGTAAGCATGAATAACAGGTTTCCATAGACTAGATCACATGTTTGTGAAATGAGTTATCCGGTGCTTTCCCCTGAGGTTTGATTGTTGTGTAAATAATGGAGCAGTTTCTGTGCCTTGTGGCGCGGTAGACGTATGCTTCTGTCCTAATACTCGAATTTTTATGAAACAATTTGGAATCTCCTAAAATTCAAACTTTCTTGTCCGGTTCTATTAATTTATTTTAGGATATTTGAACTTATATTTTTAATGACCAACCTTTAAATATCGTGGCTCTATAATAAATACAAATGGAGAATGACATAAATGAAAAGGAGGATGGCCGCAGCAATACAAAGATTAAACAGCATTAAAAGTCTATGGTTAAGCACCAGCAAGGAGATCAAAATAAATTTGTTAAAGCATGCATCTTGCCTGTAGCAACATCGTGGACTATCTCCTAGTCCTTGAGAAAGAGAATAGGGTCTTTCAAACTGAAATGCTGTAGAAAGATTCTCAGAATATCATGGACAAAGATGAGGAGAAATACTGACATTTTAACAGTTCTGAATATCAAGGAAGATTGGCTAATAAATAGCATCTTGCCTCCGAAGCTGAAAAATGTTGTCATATAAAGTGCCCTGACGGACTGGGGAAAAATAATAGCAGAAGGCATGGTACCAGGGAGGAGGGGCAGGGGCCGACCGACACGAAGAGGGGCACAGAATATAAGTGACCACTTGAGTATGAAAGTGCATGAGGCGGGAGAGCTGGCGAAAAACAGTTTCTATGCTGGCAGACTGTGATGAGAGCGACATTTTGCAAAGGAAATGCTACATAATGATGGTTACTACTGATGTCACCACTTTTGTTTATCATCTACATCGACAGTATATGCAAGGTTGCTAAACACAGGAACGAAAATACTAGTAAATCAACGAATGACCCAACTTTGACA